AAGGTTAGCCCTCGTGGCATGGAGGAGTGGAAAGACTGAGAGGGCAGCTTTACAGTGAGGAGCAGGCTGGTTTTGTCTCTGTGTCTTTCAAAGATAGAAGAGAATTTGCTCGTATTTACATGCCAAGGAAAGGAGTCATCAGAGAGGTGAAAGGGTAAGACACTAGTGAAATAGTTTGGAATTATGAGAGCACAGTGCGAGAAAGCGGAAGCTTAGGATTCGGTGACTGACACAGCTGCTTAGCTGGAGACATGATCATGACAGAAAGAAGTCTTTTTGCATAAGAATAGAAGAAGTAAGGAGTGATTAATGATCTGAAGCTGCATTGTAGGCCTTGGAAACAACTTCTTTATAGCAGGTACAGGTGCACATTCCCTATGATGAATGTGATCATTATGCATATCTAAATGGTAGTAATAAAAATAATAATAATAATAACAATAATAGAAGAGAGGAAAGGAAAAGCCAACATGACTGCAGTTCTTCAGAGAGAACCAGCATCAGAGAAGGGGCAGAGTCTCTGGGGAGTGAGGAGATGCAGATTCTGTGCACCTGGAGCAGGATTCTGGGGCCAGTGTGGACAGCTGCAGGAGGGAGTTGTATAATGAGAAAGGGTCGCAGTGAGCGCCTCCTACAGCTTATATGCGGGTGTATGAAGGGTGTGGGAGTGGGTAGCCTAGAGGACATGGGAAGTTGTCTTTTTATGCCATAGTGCAACAAAATTCTATACAGTGAGTAGTTTTTCTTCGGGTCTGTACCTTCTGAAGTTAATCTGGGATGTACAATGTATATTTTTCTTCTATAGACACGAGTATACCAGTGGATACTATGGACTGTCATCTTATTTCTTTGGAAAACTATTTGCTGAGTTAATCCCTAGGAGGTTTTTGCCAACTGTTATATTTACCTTTATTCTATATTTTCTGTTTGGTAAGTAATAAGACAAGAAGGTTGTCTCTAGACTTGCATATGAGGTGAAACTAATATTCTCTTGCCTGCATTTTTATGATTCTCTGAAATGCAAACAAAGCCATAAGCTAGAGAGGAAATGTGTAACCACTGTGCATTCTCTAAAATAACTGTGGTATATGGGTATTTTTCTCAAGACTTTTTCCCATCTGAACTTTTTAAACTATAAACCTGGATTTCAGTAAGACATATTTACAGTGTGTCATACACAAAGGTGGAAATCATTTATAAAACCATTTGAGATTATGCTGGAATATTTATTGCCAATTTATGTATATTTTTCTATCCTTCTGTGTGTTTCCTTATAGATATAAATATAAATAGGTAATATCGTTAATATCTATAGAGATGTATATAGAGAGGTCAAAAAATCGAAATACATATTATTCCTTCTGCCTTCTACTTTGTAGTACTTGTTTGGTAGTTGTAGACAGTTTCATTTTTGCGTTTTCAGCCTTCATCCCATGCTCATCAAAATTGCATTATATTTCAGTGATACAGCTATGCATGTGTGCATCCGCTCAAAGACATGTGAATGAGGGCACACAAATGTGTGGGCGCACACACACACACCAAAACTCTCGTTTTGGTAATGTGCTGGAGGATAAGAACCACTCATAGAGCTTAGATATTCCATTTTATCAGGAAGATGTGCATCCAAAGAATTAGGAGTGGAATCGAGGTCTCAAAACTCCTCTTTGTGTTCTTGTACCAGTTTCTAAATCTTCAGCTTGTGTGATGTATGACATGTGCTCATTATACTTTATGAAATAGTTTGTGGAACTCAGCTTAGCCCCATCCTCCATCACAGAGTCATGTGGTGCTATGTCCAGGGGACTTAGTTTATGAAGGCCCCCTACCCAGTCTCAATTATTAAAACCACTATGAAGTCATGGAGTCCTGACCCCACGCTCCTCACTGTGCAGTCACAGCAAACACTGAGTGCTGTGCAGGTGTCTGGGGAAGTGAACGACTATGGCTGAGCTTCCTGTGAGAGGCCAAGGCAGGAGAATGCTGGTCCATTGTGTTGTCTGGGGCACCTCACCTCAGGAACTCAGAAATTGTTCCTAGGCCCACACAAGGGAGCATAGGTGCTGCATGGAGAAGTGTTTCTGCAGTAAGTGTGAAAAGAAAAACTGTATGAAAACTTTATGTAGTTACATGGAGGGTCAGTGAAATTGGTGACCTGGGTAGGTTGAAAGTGGATGACTCTTTTCATTGTGATATTAGTTTGTTAGATTATACTGTTGTTTGTCCAATAAATTGTTCCCAAAACATGGTGATGTAGGCAGTTGGATTGACCCCTTCTTTTCTTGGTTAGGATTGAAAGCAGGGGCAGAAGCCTTCTTCATCATGATGCTTACTGTTATCCTGGTGACTTACACAGCCAGTTCCATGGCACTGGCCATTGAAATAGAACCACGTTTGGAGTATGTGACAACATTTTCCATGAACCTCTATTTTGTGTTTATGATGGTGAGTATAAACTGTGCTTCTGTGAGAGGGAAATTCTCCCCTTGTTTCCCCTGTGTATATTCATCTGCCTGGTAAAACCTGCTAGGAATATTTTGTACATGGGACTCTGATGCTTTCAAGAGACCATAGACTGACATATAATTTATAGTACAGAATATTAGGTTTATTCCTTGCCCTTGTCCAGTCTTTTTTTAAAGGCTCTTCTAGTGTAGTTACTGTAACTGAGTTAACATGTGCTGAGTAATTTACCTTTAAAAAGGTCATTCTGGCAGCACTGTGAAATCTTATATACTGGCACTCCTAAAACCAGAAATATTATGGTTTGTCAATTGTTTCATAAAAGTGTCATGCTATCTGCCTGCCTTTCCTGCTGGTGTTAGAGATCTGCTGGCTTTTTTGCTACAGCAGAGGTGGTACGGCTGGAGTTACTACTCTCTAGGATGAAAGCGAAGCTACATGAGAAGTGTAACAGTGTGTCGCATGCAAAGTCTGTCTTGGGGTCTTGTGTTTTGAAACGAAGTGTTTTAAAAATACTGGAAAATTCCAATGTCCACTGTACTATGTCACCTCATTTCTGAATTTCTAAGAATCTCTGATAGGAATATACTTTTGGTTTTCTTTTTTTCATTTTCTTAATACTAGGGCTTGAACCCAAGGCCATTCACATGCCAGCCAGTTGCTCTTCCACTGAGCTATATTTCCAACTCTTTTCATTTTATTTTGAGACAAGGTCTTGCTAGTTTGCCTCTGTTGGCCTCAGATTTTCAGTCTGTCTGCTTCATTCTTCTGAGTAGCTGAGATTCACAGGCTTACATCACTTCTCCTGGCTTATCACTGTCTCTCTTTTTTTAATCATTGCTTATTTATAATCAAACATGTTCCCAAATTTTGCTGTCAGATAAATGGAACCAGTTGCCTCATTGTTTTCCCTCACCAGGAAGCAGAATGTGAAGGGAGGATCCAGGGAGGAAGACATTTTCTGCCAGGTCACACCCCTAAGTGATTTACCTCTTCAGACCAGGCCCCGCCTTCTAGTAGCACACTCAACAATGAATGTACTAGTCAGTGGATTAATCTGCTGATCATGTAGCACCTCCCATGGGCTCATCACTTTTCAAAAGCCCTTCCTCTGAACACATGAAAGTTTGGGGGAATTCTGGATCTAAACCATAACACCAATTATAAAACCAAATTTTACACAAAGTTGCTGTGTTATGTACTGAACACGTGGTTAGGTTTTCTGAATATATGCAGATACACTAGCAATACTGTCATTGTTTTGCATATCCCTGTAAGGCTTCTCCCAGTTAGGATGAGTTTGATGTGAATCCCGTAGCTGTCTCTTACTCATCTTGAGGAGTCCTTCCTTATATCTCCACCATGCTACCACTTTTTGGTAGGTTTAAATGGAGATATGGGGTATATTTTCTTTTACATATTGCCACATTATGCTATTTATCAGTTCTAGGCTTTGAGTAACCCTAAGCTTGCATTTTGAACCCCACATTATTCATAAACTCTTAGATTTAGAAAGCAAAACTTTATGAATGACAACCTTGCTGTTGTATAGATTAGAGAGGGGCATATGATACTTGGCATTGTTCTGGTCTGTTCCTAGATGACCAGGTTTGTTAAGGAAACAGATAGTTGTGGTATCTTTAGAATAGTCAGTATAGTTGTCCCTTCATGGATTCTGTATGCAAAGATTCCACCAACCACCAATTGAACATATAAAACAAATACCATGTCTGTACTTAACAGTTTTTTCATTTTTTGCCATAATTGCTTAAACTATACAGTGTAATAAATTAGGTAGCATTTACATTGTATTAGATATCACTGTAGATATCATGATTTCTCTTATATGAGAAACAGAATACAAGTCAAACAAAAGAGAGATATTGGAAAGCAAGAAGGCAATAAAGCAGTCAAAACTGATGAAGATGTCATATGCATGTATCAGTTCCCAAGAAGGAACAGAACTATTATGTAACACAAATATACACTTAATAATAAAAGAACTATATAACATAGATTTTAAGGTATTGTTCTGTCTTTCATATCTTTAGCAGCTAAAGCTATGCAGAGGTATTCACATGCAAAGGGGAAATATTAGTGTTTAGATTAAGTGAAAAGAATTTCAAGACCCAGTTGGTCCTCTCAGAAATGGTTAGAATATTGTCAGGTTCTTGAACAGGGTCTTTAGAATTCCTCTTGAAATCACTGGATTGGTTATGATTTGTGGTTTGTTTTTTTTTTCATAGATTTTTTTGAGTATGTCGCTGTATTTTGAAACCATTGCACCTGTGTTTTCATGGTTTCAGTACTTAAGTATTCCACATTTTGGTTTTACGGTAAGTGTCCGTTATGGTTTGTGTTTGGATGTCCCCCCAAAGACTCATGAAGTCATGGGGCGGCCTTCTGGGGTTCACAATTGATAATCCAATGCTGGGATTATGCGTCTGAGTGCTGCTACCCACCCTGGGGTGGGTAGTTTACATATAATGTAAGGGAGGGAAAGAGGCTGCTTGTTGCTCCTCCCTTTTTGCTCTTGTTACTTTTGCTGTGTTCTGCTGCCATGAACTATTGCCCTCTGCCTTGTGCCATTCTGCCTTAGAGCCAGCGAGTATGGACTGAAACCTCCACAAAGTGCGAGCTAAATAAACCTTTCCTTCCTTAATTTTGGGCACTGGGTATATTGTCTCAGCAAGAAGAGAAAATAACCAGGACAGAATTTGGTACCAGAGGAGTGGGGTCCTTGCTGTGACTGTATCTGACCATGTGGTTGAAGAGCCTTTGGGAATGGCTTGTGAGAGAGTTGGGAAAGATTCACAGATGTCACCTGAAAGAGAAGTGCTGGAATGCATTAGGCTGTTCTGTATGGTAGATTCTGGTCAGAAGACCTGAAGGCTGATCAAAATCCTGCTGGTAAAGGTTGGGTTTGGAAAGTTTCCCCTGTAAAAAAGGATTGCATTGGTTGTTGGACTTTAGATGATGTATGTTATGGCTTGGCAGAAAGTTTGTCTGCATTTTGCTATGTCCAGAGACTGCCTGAGATTGAGATTAAGGGTGGCAGACTGAATAATCTGACAAAGAAATTTTAAGGCAGTTGAATGTTGCGGAAGAAGGATGGCTATTGTTGGGGGCTTTTAGCCAGATTTATGTTGGAAATCAAGAGCAAAGAGCCCAGCAGGATGATTTAAAATGTTGTGAGTTTGACCAGAAAGGAAGCTCCAGTAAAGCTGTGGATTGCAAATATAGAGCTGAGTAGATCTCCATTGCTGAGAAGGAGCAGGAGAATACAAAAGATGACCTGAGGGCATCACAAGAAGCAGCAAGTCTCTACCCTTTGCAGCCTCAAAACTGCAAAGGTCAAAGACTTTGCTTTGAGGAGAAAGCTGCAGAATGCCATGTGCCAGAATGGCGATGGCCGCACCAAGTTTCAGAATGACACTGGCATAGAGAATTTGTTCCTCAGAATTGGATTCAGAGTGCTCAGTGATCTGGGCACTAGACCACTACCGCCAAGAGAGAGGAAAGCTTGGCTACTACTCCAGGTGGCAGCAGACCTTGGCATCATCCACATGGCATTGGTTTTAGGCACATACATAATACAAGAGTTCTGAGGTTAAGAAGGCTTCCACCTAGATTTGAGAAGGCCTGGGAGGCCAGGCAGTACCCCCCTGAGAGGGCAATGTGTGAAGATGTGAGTGTGAAACCTAAAGTGTAGTAGAGACCTCAGAAGTTCGGAGAAGCCAGGAACGTGGATTGTCTGAGGAAAGCTGCAAGGAGGGCCCAAGAGCGGAGCCATAGGAGCTACAACCAGCAGAAGTGCAATAGGGGTGGAGCCACACAAGGCCTTTGGAGCTCATAATTTATCACAGATTGCTTGGAATGTTCCACATGGAACTACAGGACTTAATGTTTTTCCTGCTAGATTTTAGACTTGCTTTGGTCCCAAAGACTTGCTTTGTATAACCCTGTTTGTCAGTTTTGGTTTTTTTTTTTTTCCTTTTTTTCCATTTGAAAAAATAAAAGAACAAAAACCTATTAACAAACACATTTACATTTACCAAATAACACACAAATAATACAGGCAATACTGATATTCAGATAAGGTGATAGAAATTAACAATGGTTATTGTATTACATATTGATTTCTTCCAAGTGGTTACTCAGAAAAACAAATACAGACATGTAAGGTTGGTCACATAATTAATCATTAACTGTTCATTTCAGTAAAGAGATAGAAGTCAGTAGTACAACTATGTTAGCTATTCTGTATATACATACATACCTAATTTCCTCTTCTTTCTTTTCTCTGTTCCCTCATCCCAGTTGTTCTTTACTTTTGAGCATTTTCCTTTTGTTTCACAATGTTTATCATACCTCCTAATTTTATTCACTTTTTCAGGTTCTTACATTGAAACAATACATTGTTACACATGTGAGTCTGATTTATTCCACTTATGAGTGTGGTCTCCAGTTGTGTCCTTTTACCTATAAAAGCCTCGAGTTTATCTTTCTTTATAGCTGATTAATATTCCATTATATAAAAAATACCACAACTTTTTTATCCATTCCTCAGTGGATGGACATTTGGGTTGCTTCCACAATTTAAGTATTACAAATTGCACTGCTATAAACATGGGTGCACATTTCAGTTCTTCTGGGAAAATACCCAGAAGGGGAATAGCTGGGTTGAATGGGACCTCTAGACCTAGTTTGCTGAGGAATCTCCAAACTCATTTCCACAGTGGTTTCAACAGTCTGCATTCCCACCAGCAGTGGAGAAGAGTTCCTATTTCTCCACAGCCTCACCAGCATTTGTTATGGGTTGATTTCTTAATGATAGCCATTTTTACTTTGGTGAAATGAAATTTCAGTGTTTTAATTTGCATTTCTCAAATGACTAATGATGTTGAACATTTTCTTGTGTATTTATTTGCCATTTGTATTTCTTTATCTGAGAAGTGTGTACTCATCTCAGATGCCCATTTTGGTTTGGGTCTTTGAATTTGGGAGGGCTGTTGTTTTTTAATTCTTTATATGTTCTAGATAGAAGCCCTTTGTCCGAGGGAGAGTCAGCTAAAATTTTTTTCCCAGTTTGTGGGTTTTCTTTTTACTCTGCTGGTGATTTCTTTAGATGTGCAAAAGCTTTCCAGTAAGATGAGATCCCAGTTATGGATTCTTTGAAGTATTTCCCCATGCAGTTTTGTTTATGTTCATGAACTCTCTGCCTACCCCTATGTCTTCAAGATTTTTACCTATTTTCTCTTCCAATAGATTTAGTGTTTCTGTTTTAACATTGAGATCTGTGATCTATTTTGACTTGTGTTTGGTGCATGGTGATAGACTTGGGTCTATTTTCAGTCTTCGGCAAGTGGCAAGGCAGTTTTTCCAGCACCATTTATTGAAGAGACTGTCTTTCTTGCATTGAACTTGTTTGGCCCCTTTGTCAAAGATTAGGTGGCTGAGTGTGTTTGTGCTTGTGGCTGTTCTTGTATATATCATATTGTTGGATTTTGTTTCTCAATCCACCCTGCAGGTCTGTTTCTTTTGATTGGTGAATCAAGGCCATTTACATTAATGGGTATAACTGATGTGTGTTGGATTGTCTTTGTCATGTTATTTACTTGCTGTTGGTTTTCTGCTTTTTCTATCTGTTTAATTGCTTTGCTTGAAGGTTCCTTTCTGTTGTTGTTCTTGAAATTGTGGTCATTTCTTCCTCTGTCTAGAATATCTTTTAGTACTCTTTGTAAGGTTGGTTTGGCACTCATGAAGTTCTTCAGTTGTTCTTTTTCATGGAAATATTTTATTTCTCCATTAAATTTGAAGAATAGTTTTGCAGGATACATCAGTCTTGCTTGTAAGCTATTTTGTCTCAGGACCTATAATACTTTGCTCCAAGCTCTTCTCGATTGGATGGTTTCTTAAGAAATCTTTGATTCTGATGAGCTTTCCTTTATAGGTGATCTCTTTCTTTTCTCTCATAGCTTTTAATATTCTGTTCTTTTGCTGTATTTCTTTGATCTTGATTATTATATATCTGGGTATAGTTTTACTTTGGTTATGACTAGTTGCAGTTCTATATGCCACACTTACCTGTATGTCAGAATCTTTTTCCATGCTTGAGAAACTTTCTGCTATTATTTCTGCAAATACTCTCTGTCATTTGTGTTGCCTCCTAGTGTTTTGTTGACTCCTATTAGCCTTACATTATTTCTCTTTGCCTCGTCTTGCAGGTGTTGAAGTTATTTCCTGGTTCCTTGTTAATTTTAAGAGATCCTTCCTGTCACGATCATTAGCTGCCATGCCATCTTCAAGAACTGAAATCCTGTCTTCAGCTTCATTCGAGCAGTTTTGCCAGCTTTCAGTGGAAATTTTGATTTCCTGGATATCTCTTTGAATTTGTTTCATGCATTCTAGTTCACTCCTGTGTTTTTCATTTAACATTTCCATCAGTTTCCTATGCTCATCTATTTTTTTCTATTCATCTTCCTTAGATGTGCTAAGCAATTCTGTCATTATTGTTGTGATTTCATTTTTTACCTGAGACATTATTGGTGATCTGATGTCTTCTGTGGCCTGATGGAGTTGTTTCTTTACTTCCATGGCAATCATGTCAGTGACTTCAGGTGTGTGTTTACTGAGTTCTCCTATGTTGATGTCTCCTGGACTTGTTCTGGGTAGGGTGAAGTTATGAGATTGTATTTTAGTCCTTTGTCTTGTCATATTTGATGCCGGAGGCAGAGTATCCAGTCTCCCTCTTCCCTGGCCCACTCAGCAAAGTTTGCAAGCATTGCTGGTTATTCTGGTGGTCAGACTTGTACCCCAGTAGCCGCTGAGATCAGCTGCTCACTCTAGGGTCTTCTGGTGGTTGGCGGAGTGTACCTAGTTCTCCCAGGTCCCAGGCGTGAACTGCAGTATCTTCAGATCGCTGACTGCCTGCTCAAGTGTCCCTAGGCAGCTCAGGGCACGTGTTTGACCAAGAAGTGGGCTGCACTGGTGGCATGATCACAGACCATTTGGTCCTGTGTCCCCAGACAGTTCAGGGTGCAGGGAGAGCCTAGACACAAACTGCAGAGTAAGCAGTTCATGGACTCCCTGATTCAGTATCTCCAGGCAGCTTAAGGCCCTTGCAGGAGCTGGATACAGGCTGCACTGGTGGTGATCACAGACCACCTATTTATGTGACCTCTTGGAGAGCAGGGCACACGCAAACCCAGACGCGAACCTCAGTGTCAGCAGTTCAGGGACCACCTGATCTAATACCCCAGGTGGCAAAGGGCACACACAGGGTGGGCACAAATGTGAACCCCAGTGTTAGCAGTGTGTGGGCCTTCTGAGCCAG